TGGGGGGAAAGGATGGATGTCACCCTCCCACCACCACCTCTCCACACCCTCCTTTCTGCTCCACAGCCACGGGGCTGGAGGAAGAAGCTTCATCCACCACCAGCAGCCAGAAAACCAGAACCCTGCTGAGAGGGGACGGAACGGGGAGGGGGATTCTCTGTGGATCACGGGGATGAGGAGCAGCAGATCAGCCCAGATCTCCACAGAGACACAGCTTTGGGTGGAGAGATGAGCAGCTTCCATCTCCCTTTGACATCAGAGGAGAAAAATGGGGGAAACACCTCAAAACAGGCAGTGAGGAGAAGAAGGATTTGGACCAGAGGGTGAGTGGGAACCCCAGAGACACGCAGGTGAGGAGCAAAGCTTGGGGTGGCCTTTGGAACGTGCCACCAGTCCCTGCTGAGGTAATTAGTCCTGTGGGGGTTGGATTGTTCCTGCTCACCTGGAGAAGGGCTGCTGGGTCCATCCCACCACGCTGGGCTCTGTGGTGTGCAGATCCAGGGCTCTTCCCCACGTTCCATCCGGTGTAAAATGTCAGGTTTGGGGCCTGGGTAACCTGTGGGGTGGAGGAAAGGATGGATGTCACCTTCCTGGTGGGGGAAAGTGGAGGAATAAATTCTTAACGTGAGGAAATCAAAGGTTTTCTTTGTGAAACCTCAAGCTGCACTTCACTGTGACCAGAAGAACCTCAGGAGAAACAACATCCCACACCAGCTCCTAGGAGCTGCTCCTGGGTGTGGGATGTCTGTCCTCCCAGGAGCCCAGCTCAGAGCAGACAGATAATCACAGATCTCCATCCTGTCCTGGTGGCAGCCAGCAAGTCCTCAGAAGGAAATGGCAGGAAGATGTGGCAGGGGAGGGTGAGGTTGGCCATGAGGAAAAGGTTCTTGAGGCACCCAGAGGGTGGTGGAGCACTGGAACAGGCTCCCCAGGGAGGTGCTGATGGCACCAAGCCTGACAAGATTCCAGCAGCATTTGGCCAAGGCCCTCAGGGACATGGTGTGAATGTTGGGCTTGTCCTGAGCAGGGACAGGAGTTGGACTCCAGCATCCTGGTGGGTCCCTCCCAGCTCACAACATGATTCCTTCCAGATGTTTTGGTTGGAAAAGCCCTTTGAGATGATGGGGTCCAACCATGAACCCAACACTGACCAGTCCCCTATGACTGACCCATGTCCCTCAGCACTGTGTCTACACGACTCTTCAATCCCTCCAGGGATGGGGACTCCACCACTGCCCTGGGCAACCCCTTCCAATGCCTCAGAACCCTTGCAGCAAAGAAATTCTTCCTCACATCCCATCTCAACTGCCCTGGCCACAACTGGAGCCCATTTCCTCTTGTCCTGTCCCTTGGGCCTTGGTTGGACAGACCCACCCCCACCTCTCTCCACCCTCCTCCAAGGGACTTGCACAGAGCCACAAGGTCTCCCCTCAGCCTCCTTTTCTCCAGGCTCAACACCCCCAGGTCCCTCAGCCACAAGGGAACTCAGCACACTTGTGCTCCAGTCCCTTGGTGTCAAATATGACACAACCCCTCCCCCCAAATTAAACCCACTAATTACCCAGTGACGTCAGCAGTCTGTAGTTGTCCATCATGACGCTGCGGTACAGCTCCCTCTGCGCCGCGGCGGTGGCCTCCCACTCGGCGTGGCTCAGGTAGACGGCGACGTCCTCGAAGGTCACCGGCTCCTGTCACACAGGGATCACCCCCAGGTCACCCCCAGGTCACCCCCCGGGTCACTCACGGAGCCCCGGGGACACAGATTGAGGTGAAATCCCATCATTTAGAGGTAAAACACGTGAGATTTGGAGCGCTGGTGCTTCCTCGGGGCGCTGGGACTGGGGACCTGCAGAGGACAAACGTTGTCCCTGCAGCTGGGATCTGTTCTCGGGGCAGCTCACGGGCACCCCGACACCAAAATGGGGACAAACCCTGGAATATCAGCAGTAAAAGGAAGATATTTTATGTGTCAGTGTTTATCGGGGTCCTGGAGGCACAGGGGATCGTTCCAGCCGTGGCTCAACCTTAGAACGCAGGAAATAAGGTTTATATTCCAAAAAAATACAGATTTATAGCAGGAAATAAGGTTTATATTTCCAAAAAAATATAATTTATAGCAGGAAATAGAGTTTATATTCAAAAAATATAGATTTATAGCACGAAATA